CAGGCAAGAGGAAACAGGGGCATCAGATTCTATCCCGCTCCTGCCACTTAGGAGTATCTGGGGCAGACACAGAAGCCCAACTGGGCAAATAAAGTTATGTCCTCTGGCTGGGCGTTCAGGAGTTCAAAAGAAAATACACTAGAGGCCTTCACCTTCCTACCTGTATTCCATCACTATAATTCTCTCGTATGAATTTCAATATTTATAATTAATCTGAGTCACAGAGAAGAACATTAGTAATGATGATTACTCCGGCTTCCCTCCATTCCCCACCCCTCACCCCAAAGGGCTTACCACACCATTTTTCACCATCAACCCACTCAGAATACCCATGCAAAGCTGGCACAGCAGTGTTGAGAGCAAGTGGGATGGAAGACCTGCTTTTGAGGTCCCTACAGAATATAACTCTCCAGTGATTGTGATAGAAGGGAACGGGAGCCCATCAGTCCATCCCTATCCTGAGGCTCCCTGTGGGTAGATGCCAGCCTTAGATGCTAGAAGGAATGACCCAAATAGATGGCATTCTGGTTGATGGGAAAGGCAAAACCCACTCCTCAGGACTCTAAGCAGCAATACAAATGAAGAAGTACAAACTGAGTGTCTAAGCAGAGAGGGCACACAGAGCAAATACATTATCTGTAGACTTAGATAAATATGTAAGCCTTGGGCTGGGTTTGGAGGCTCATGCCTGGAATCCCAGAACTTTGGGATCACTTGAGCCTAGGAATTTGAGACCAGCCTAGGCAACATAGAGAGACCCTGTATCTACAAAAAGTTTCCGAATTAGCTGGATGTGGTGGCACACACGTGTGTTCTCAGCTCCTCAGGAGGCTGAGGTGAGAGGATCGCTTGATCCTCAGGTCAAGGCTGCAGTGAGTGGAGATCACACCACTGCACTCCAGCCTGGGCAACAGAGCCAGACCCTATCTCAAAAACAAAACCAAAACCAAAAACAATGTAAGTCTTAAGCAAATAAACCAACTGTTGTTTAATTCAATCCTAATAGGAGCCTTGAAAGGTAATTTACAGATTCAGAGAAACAAAAAGATTGAATGAAGACCGCACACATGCAAGTAGAGGGCCAGGGTTTGACTCTAGGTCTTTTTGTTGATAAAAAGCTATATTATTTTATTAAATTATCATGTCAAGGAGCAGAGATGAGCTTTAAGCTGAGTTCTAAAGAAAGAGACACACATGGATAAACTAAGAGAGGAGGGGAAGTGTGGTTTGCCAAATAAAATACAGGATACCCATGCCCAAATATTTCATGGGACATACACTAAAAATTACTTGTTTATCTGAAATTCAAATTTAACTGGCACCCTGTATTCTTATTTCCTAAATCTGTCAGCATTTAAAGCAAGCAACTCTTAAGCTTTAAAAGCAAGGCAGGGGATTCGACCCAGGTGCTCTTGTGAGCTGCTGCTCCTGCGGTCGGTGAGATTACCTGGGTCTAGAGTACGGAGCTGCTCCGTGGCCACGAGGACGTCACCATGCCTAAAGCACCAAAGGGAAAAAGTGCAGGACGGGAAAAAAAAGTCATCCATCCATATAGTAGAAAAGCAACTCAAATTACGAGAGAGGCCCACAAACAAGAAAAAAAGGAAAAATTGAGAATGAAAAGGCCTTGCGTCTCAACCTTATTGGTGAAAAACTGCAATGGTTTCAAAACCATCTTGATCCCCAAAAGAACAGATATTCAAAGAAAGATGCTTGTCAACTAATTGAAAGGTACTTGAATCGATTCAGCAGTGAGCTGGAGCAGATTGAGTTACATAACAGTATCAGGGACAGGCAGGGGAGGCGGCACTGTTCCCGGGAGACCGTCATCAAGCAGACCATGGAGCAGGAGCGACAGCAGTATGAAGGATATGGCCTTGAGATTCCTGACATCCTAAATGCAAGTAATCTGAAAATGTTCAGGGAATGGGACTTTGATCTGAAGAAATTACCGAACATTAAAATGAGAAAAATTGGCGCTAATGATGCAATTCCCAAGAAGTGCAAGAGGAAAACTATTATAACTGTAGACCAAGATTTAGGGGAATTGGAACTAAACGATGAATCAAGTGATTCAGATGAGGAAATGACTGCAGTGGCCTAATTGTCTTCACTTGAATTGAAAATAAATAATTTGAGAGCTTCAAATTATATTCATTGATTATGGTACCTAATTGTCAAGATACAAGATTTTGATACTGACATTCTCTTATATAATAAGAGTTTCATTTGCAGTTTCAAAAATGGTGTTACGATATTTATTTTAAAATGAAGACTGCTTTTCATTTACATTAAGTTGTTAAAATAGATAGATGTGATCTGCAGAAGTTGTTTAATCTTTTTCATCTGAATTTCGGGCCGGGAGGGAGCAATATAACTAAGGACAAAAAATGTTTTGTTTTTCTTGTGTATTTATGACCACCTACTTTTATGTTTTGTGAAATGGACAGTAACCTGTTTCCTAAAAGATTCCTGTGGGTACTTTTTGAGTTGTGATAATAGCAAAATTGCCTTTCAGTAATAATATCACACTAATGCTTCTTTTAAACATTAAACCTATTTTCCTTTTTTACAAAATAAGGGAAAATGTGATAAGAAGTTTGTATACACTGCCGGATTATAGATTATTATTTATCTTTTGAACCAGAGTTAAATGGTAAAAGAAAAAAAAATCAGTGATGATTTTTGTGTTGATCTCCCACAATTAATTTATCTTTTGACAAAGGGGATAAAGAGTTTCAGTTTACCTCCTTTTAATTGTATATTATTTTTTGCTTTTTTATGGTGAAAAGTGATAGGTTTTATTTGTGGAGAGAGAATTAAAGATTAGAGAACCAGTGATTTTAATTATGCTACTTTTTCTTAGAGATAAGTTGACATATAATTCAGTATTTTCAGTGTCATGAAAAACATGAATGTTGTACAATTTTCTTCCTCAAAAAACTTGTTAAATGCAAGTATCCTTGGTATGTTTTTAAAAGAGAACAATGCAGGTGTATTTGAGTATTTTCAAGAGAAGAATAAAAACATTAATGCTGTATTAGGTTAACCAGATATCAACCAAGCCTTGTTAACAGTTAAAGTATTATAACTACTTTTTTTACTTCTGAAAATTAAAAATAAAATTTATTTCTGCAAAAAAATAAAAAAAATAAAAGCAAGACAAATGGCCTGGGTAAAAGCTCAAAAGAATAGGAAAACAAGGCTTGTGGGGAGGATGAAAAGTATGTTTACCTGGTTGGTGCAGACAGTTCCAGAGTGGGAAGCAAAAAAATAGGAAGAGGGGCTGGGCACAGTGGCACATGCCTGTAATCCCAGTTACTCAGGAGGCTGAGGCAGGAGAATCACTTAAACTCGGGAGGCAGAGGTGCAGTGAGATTGCATCTCTGCACTCCAGCCTGGGCAACAGAGAGAGATTCTGTCTCAAAAAAAAAAAAAAAAAAAAAAAAAAAAAAAAGCATAGGAAGATGAGGTTGGCCATAGTCAGCTGCTAGAAAGGTCTTCCAGAATGGACAGTTTAGACCTGATGGGCAATAGAAATGCTTTGATTCTAAGTTGTAAACTTAGGGAAGAGAACAATCATGGTTTCATATGACCGTAGAATTTAGAATTACTTTAGTTTACAACAACATCATGCCTTTTATTAGTATAGTACTTTATAGTTTGCAAAGCACTTTCACATGCATTATTTAATTGGAGACTCAAGTACCTTGCATGGTAGGCAAAATGGATACTTTCTGCCTCGGTTGACTCTGCTTCCACTCAGCCTATGAGCTGGTCTCCATCCTTCCCTTGACTACCAACATCCTGAAAGGCACTATCCTGCCCCTACTCCCAACTCTACCACTCTCCTGAAACTGTTGTCACAATGTCACCAGTGACATATCCAAGGCTTCTTTTCACTCTTCATTCCACTTTCCCTCTCTTTGGCATTTAACATTGTTGACAACCTACTCTGTCTGTGATGCTGTTCATCTCTTGTTCTTCTACTTCCCGGATCACTTTTTCTCGTCTCTTTCACTCTTCTCTTGCTCTATTCTCCTTCCCTTAAAGTGGGCATGCCCAAGTTCCCATCTTTGGTCTTGTCCTTGAGTGCTTTCATCCATTCTCTTTTCAAGCCCTGAATATGTGCTAATGATTCCCAAATTGACATCTCTCCTGGCTTTCTAGATTAGAATTTTAAATTGCCTCCTAGACATTTCTATGCATGATTCCCATTCCAATTCATCCTTCTACTACCAACAGACCTAGCCATCTTATCCACTTGATGAACACCATTACTTACTGGATAAGGCCCAATTCCTTAGCCAGATTTGTCAATAGTCACACAGTTATGGCAAAATCTTGTCTAGATCAGGAGGTTGGCAAACTTTCTCTATAAAGGACCAGACAGTAAGTATTTTAGGCTTTGCAAGCAACATTCAGTCTCTGTTGCACAGTTCTCTTTCTTGTTGCTGTTAGTGTTTAATACAATACTTTTAAAAATGTTACAACCATTCTTAGCTTGAGGGTTGTATAAAAACAAGCTTGGGCTTTAGTTTGCCAACCCCTGGTCTAGGGTCAGGCCTCCTGATTCCCAATCTTGTTCTCTTTTCCTTGCTTGAGGAAGTCAAAAATTTATATTCATAGAGTATTTACAGCTTTAAAAATTTTCTTTCATATACATTATTTTACTTGTTCTTGCTTCTTTGAATCCCCATAGGACTTTATCTGTACCTATCTCATAGAAAATATTCCAGTTCATAACCTTTTACTCTACTAGGCTATTCTTTTTTTTTCTTTTTGCCTTTATACAGTTAGCATCTTTACTAATCTGCTAGAACGGCTGTAACAAAGTATCACAAATTAAGTAGCTTAAGCGACAGAAATTTATTGTCTCTCCATTCTGGAGGCTGGAAGTCCAAGATCACAGTGTCAGGAGGGTTGATTCCTTCTGAGGGCTGTGAGGGAAAACCCGCCCCACGCTTCTGCCCTAGCTTCTGGTGCTCTGCTGGCGATCTTTGGTGTTCCTTGGCTTGTAGACACATTACCTGGGCCCTTCCCTTCATCTTCACATGCCATTTTCCCTGTCTTAAAAAATGTTACATCTTATTTATTTTTGTATATTCCACAGCAACTAGCACAATGTGTTATTCATAATAGGTACTTTAAAATTAAAAACCTAGTTGTTTTGTTTTGCTTTTAACTTCAACAGGAGAAATGAGGAAGAGTCTGAAGATGAAACACTCACTCAGGTGGCTAGTGCTAGCTGGGCAGGTAACAACGCTGCTTTTGACTCTAAGGATAGCCGTGGGACAAGAAGAAATGGAAAGGAGGAGAGAAACCCCACAACACCAAGCTCTGTGCTTCCCCCACGGAGTTCCTTCTCTCTAAGAGTTGAACTGCCTAAAGTTTTTCCAAGAGAAAACCCAAGCTGTCTGGGAGCTACGACTGCCCCCAGGGGTCTTAGCAGCTTCACTTGAGTACCACAGCCCTAGACCTGAATGGAATGGAATCAGAGAATCTTAAAGTGAGAAAGGACCTTAGAGATGCAGCTTCCCATCAGAATGGCTGTGGTCAACTCCCAGTTTTCTGGGCTAACGTGGGAGGGCTGTGACACAGTTCTTGCCAAGTCAGTTTTAAAAAAGTGAAAAATTATTTATTTGGGACTTTTTAATGTAACCTTTTTTTTAATGTTCCAAAAATGTGTGTCTGCCTTCAGAATTGTCTTAGAAATTATGTCTCATAAGTACATCTTGCTGGGGAACACAGGAGAAGGCAGTCTTGATTAGGAAAAGACATTGAATGAGAGTTGACTCCATTATTCCTGCAGCTCACCTGAGACCTGGGGGTTAAGATAAAATAATTTCATTTTAATATCAGGGCCTCAAATGTACTTGTTAGTAAATGTATCAATCTGCTCTTTTCATGGAACTTTGCCCTCATATGTCTTCCTACCTTCTCTTACTAACTCTGCATTTGGAAGGAGCAAAGAATTCCAGACATTGAGCTTGGGAATTCCAGAGGCACGGCTAATCAATGGTCTACTGTGGAAGCCTTGAAGCGGGGACACCTTCACCCTAAATACCTAGGGCTAATTCAATTAGTGGTCTCAATGGAATAAAAGTAGAGGAGACTCCTCCAGTGGCCATCAACCAGTAGACATGATCAGGGCCTGCAGTATGAGCTGGGCTCAAAGCCATTAAGTCTAGAGCCATCCTCCCTTTGCTTAGGATCAGTTCTTTTCACCAAAGACATTCAAAATAACTGGCCAGTTGGAACTCCCTTTTGTCTCCCAGGAAGAAACTGACCATAGGTGTCAGTTTCTTCTTTTAAACAAATGTCATAATAGGTGCCAGTTTCTTCTTTTAAACAAGTCAGGAAATAACTCTGATAGCTCATGACATCGGGAGTCAGAAAATGGTTGGTATAGAGAGGTTGCAAACACACTACGGAGCCTCACTGCACAAGATGTACTCATGGATGGACAGCACTGGCATCACTTGGAAGCTTACCAATCATGCAGAATTTCAGACCCCACCATAAAGTCACTGAATCAGAATGTGCACTTTAACAAAGCTTCAGCTGATTTGCATGTTTATTAATGTTTCAATGCACTAATGAAGAAGATAAGGGTTTACTACTTAACAGCTATGTGACCTTGAGCAAGTTATTTGACTTCTTCATAGCTCAGTTTCCTGATCGATAAAGTGGGAACGATAATAGTATCTCCTCATCCAATTGTTGTAACACCTTAGTTAACACATGAAAGGCTTAGAACAATGCCTTGCACTGGTAGGCATTCAGTGGCTACTAGCCATTATTACTATTATCTTTGATGCCCTCCTCTATGGTGAAAAGACAGACCTCAAAGTGATAAGTGGGGAGAAGTAGGGGAATATATGTTTGTGTGTGTGGTGGAGTGGAGAGAAGAGCACTAATAACAGGAGGAATTTTTTTTTTTTTTTTTGAGACAGAGTCTTGCTCTATCACCAAGCTGGAGTGCAGTGGTGTGATCTCAGCTCACTGCAACTTCTGCCTCCCAGGTTCAAGCGATTCTCCTGCCTCAGTCTCCCAAGTTGCTGGGACTACAGGCACATGTCACCACACCCAACTAATTTTTGTATTTTTAGTAGAGATGAGATTTCACCATGTTGGCCAGGATAGTCTCAATCTCTTGACCTCGTGATCCACCCACCTCAGCCTCCCAAAGTGCTGGGATTACAGGTGTGGGCCACCGTGCCTGGCCTACTTGTTTAATTAATAATGAAAGACTTAATTGTGGGAGCATTCAGCCAAGCTTGGGGTACCCAGAGCTCCAGGACAAATGACTGGTTGTTCATATCATAGATTTATTAACATGTGCCATTGGCAGGCCCTCTGCTGGTACTAGAGATATTGTGGTAAACAAGACAGACAAATGGAACAGAACAGAGTCCTCAGAAATAATACCACACATCTACAGCCATCTGATCTTTGACAAACCTGAGAGAAACAAGAAATGGGGAAAGGATTCCCTATTTAATAAATGGTGCTGGGAAAATTGGCTAGCCAGAAGTAGAAAGCTGAAACTGGATCCTTTCCTTACTCCTTATACGAAAATTAATTCAAGATGGATTAGAGACTTAAATGTTAGACCTAATACCATAAAAATCCTAGAGGAAAACCTAGGTAGTACCATTCAGGACATAGGCATGGGCAAAGACTTCATGTCTAAAACACCAAAAGCAACGGCAGCAAAAGCCAAAATTGACAAATGGGATCTCATTAAACTAAAGAGCTTCTGCACAGCAAAAGAAACTACCATCAGAGTGAACAGGCAACCTACAGAATGGGAGAAAATTTTTGCAGTCTACTCATCTGACAAAGGGCTAATATCCAGAACCTACAAAGAACTCAAACAAATTTACAAGAAAAAAACAAACAACCCCATCAAAAAGTGGACAAAGGATATGAACAGACATTTCTCAAAAGAAGACATTCATACAGCCAACAGACACATGAAAAAATGCTCATCATCACTGGCCATCAGAGAAATGCAAATCAAAACCACAATGAGATACCATCTCACACCAGTTAGAATGGCGATCATTAAAAAGTCAGGAAACAACAGGTGCTGGAGAGGATGTGGAGAAATAGGAACACTTTTACACTGTTGGTGGGATTGTAAACTAGTTCAACCATTATGGAAAACAGTATGGCGATTCCTCAAGGATCTAGAACTAGATGTACCATATGACCCAGCCATCCCATTACTGGGTATATACCCAAAGGATTATAAATTAGGCTGCTATAAAGACACATGCACACGTATGTTTATTGCAGCACTATTCACAATAGCAAAGACTTGGAATCAACCCAAATGTCCATCAGTGACAGATTGGATTAAGAAAATGTGGCACATATACACCATGGAATACTATGCAGCCATCAAAAAGGATGAGTTTGTGTCCTTTGTAGGGACATGGATGCAGCTGGAAACCATCATTCTTAGCAAACTATCACAAGAACAGAAAACCAAACACCGCATGTTCTCACTCATAGGTGGGAACTGAACAATGAGATCACTCGGACTCAGGAAGGGGAACATCACACACCGGGGCCTATCATGGGAAGGGGGGAGAGGGGAGGGGGGAGGGATTGCATTGGGAGTTATACCTGATGTAAATGACAAGTTGATGGGTGCAGCACACCAACATGGCACAAGTATACATATGTAACAAACCTGCACGTTATGCACATGTACCCTACAACTTAAAGTATAATAATAATAAATAAATTAAAAAAAAAAAAAAAGAAAATGTGGCAAAAAAAAAAAAAAAAAAAAAAACAAGACAGACAAGGCCGCAGCCCAGAAGTTAGAGAAGATCTGTGATGTCCATTAACACTAAAGGAAGTCAGCCTACCAGCAAGATGTTGTTGTGCTTCATTTAGACACACTGATCATGGGGCCTTGGAAACGTGGTTTGGCCCTCTCCACAGAGTTTATTAACCCGACAGTTGCTCCAATTCTCTTTCCTTCCACATCTCATAGGCAGCCAGCTAGAGCAGCTCTGCAGGCTGCTGGATCAACTGTGGAGCTGAATGCGGTATGACTAAGAGCTGTCTCTCTTAGAAGCTGAAACTTCAGCTTCACTTTGAGATGGGAAGATCCAGTAGGCCAGTTGTCCACATAGTCCTAGTTTTTGGGAACTGCCTTTCTAAAATGTAGGTCTTATCTTGTTACTCCTCTATTTAAAAACTTCTAATGGTATACAAGGTCTTTTACACTCTAGCCCCAAACTATTTGGCAGTCTTATTACAAATTACGACCCCTCCCTAGCATGCACTCCATACCCTAACCACAAGAGTGGCTGAAAACTGCAGCTCTATTCAGAACTGGGATTCAAACCCAAGCTTGTTGCTTACTGTATATGTGAAACAGGGCAAGTTACTCAACCTAAGTCTCTGTTTTTACATATGTTAAATGGTAATAACAAACCAATAATAAAAATAGCTTATTCATATTAGGCACTGTTCTAAGCACTTTGCATCTATTGATCACTTAATTTTCACTACAGAGCGACTACATAGCATTGTTGTGAAGATTAAGCGAATCAACACATGCAAGTTCCTAGAACAGTGTATGATATGAATATGAGCTATGTTTATTATTTTTAAATTATTATTAATATTAACAAAAACAAACAGTCTTTATCATGCCTCCATACCCTTAGTAATATAGTTCCTTCTTCCTGGACATGCTAACTCCCTTCTCTGTGCTGCAAACTCCTAGTGTTCCTCCAAAAGGTCCAGCTTTTCAGGCTTCTGTACCCAGAATAAGTTGCCTCTTCTATGCATATAGTCATAGCACTCTAAATACTCTATACCACCCTTATTCTAGTGCACTGAAAATCATGTTTGCATGCTTACAAATGCTTTCCACCACTAGACTGTGAACATCTCAGCAGTAAACATCCTATCTGATTTACTCTATATCACCAGGGCTGACTCTAACATATGGAACACAGCAGGTACCAAATGAGTGTTTGTTGAGTTAATAAATGGAGGTCTGACTGAATGATTAAATGCTTTCAGGAAAGGCCCTAGAA